GCAGTGGACCTGATCCTTATTTTTATACTTTCCACAGAACCCTGGCAGTACCGCTGCGGACCACCAGGGTTCTGTGGACCACAGGTTGGGAACCACTGATCTAGTCCAACCCCCTACATCCAAAATGGGTTCCAGCATCAGGTGATCAGGCCACATATCTTTGCAGGATCATCCACCGTCCAGGCTAACAGGGAAAACAAGACTATTCACAGATCATTGTCCCAAGTACCAGGCCATTAAGTTCCTTGAGTACCACTAATAGCCCTCACTTAGCATGTTGAGATTAGTAAAACAGATTTATACTTCTTGTTTCTAATTTCAAATACAGGAATGATACCTACACACAAATATACACATTCCGCAAATTTTAACTTTTCTAATGAAATGTTACACAAAGAATTTTTCATAAAGCATATTCAAATTATGTCATATTCATATGCCTATTTCTATAAAAAATATCGGGTGCAACATCAGAGAGGCAAGCTAAGTAATCCTGCTTTTTTACACAATTGCAGCAGCTCACTTTTAGAGAAGATTTAGGCTCAGATTTTCCAGTGAATACCGCTTAACTTAGCAATTTGACACCACTGCTTCCTGCCTACTCCATTATTCCTGCCAAAGTCTGCATTTTTGTTTGGTTTTCTCTTTAGAAATATCCAAATTCAGTTGCTCTGTGAACAGATGCTACTTACCATATCAGAGTTCGGTTCTTCCTACTAGATGCCCAAGATCTTGATCAGATACTTGTACTTCAGCACAACTAAGCCTACAAAACAGGAACATACTGCAAAGTGTACATCAGGAATATTGGAAGGGTACTTTTGGCTCAAGAGCTATGAAAAGCCATCTTCAGTTTCAATGTCCCTATAAATCGCTATACTCTGTTTTTTGATAGCTAATTCTGACCTAGCTCTCTCTCATCTGTCCTGGAGAATCTAAGCTGTTCTTTAGCAGGGACTTACTTTGGACAAGCCCAATTTACTATTAAAAGCAAATCAATGCCCCTGGAAATGTATTAAGTGCTGGATAGTTCTAATCAGCTCAAAGATTGGATGAAGTGGACCTGAAACCTAATTCAGGTGTGTGTGTGCTGAGGAGAGGGGGTCCACCAGGGCATCCGGTGATGATCGGATCTGGGAAAGGTAAGAGAAAAATATACTCCTCTGGGAGTGCTTTTTTGTTATAATGGCAGCATCTAGTCTCAGGGACAAGTCAGGACCAAGAGAGGCAATTCTAAAGTAATATACCAGATAGTAGTAATGGCCAATTCTTTAAGTCACTCAGTGTCTGAAGTAGACAGAGCATGGCACTTGCAGTTGGGAGCTAGCAAGAAGCCCATTCAGGTCCAGCTAGGCCTCCAGAAACTTAGCTCTTGTCCAGTTTTGCCTCAGCACAAATCAACTATGCACATGAACATTCTGGTGTGTGTGTTAAGGAATTACTCCATTTCAACTGAGAGCAGGGGTGTGCCTTTCAGACTTTCATTTATTTCCCAACTGCATACCATATACTATGGTACAGCAGGTACACCATGGACTGGCATCACATGCTATTTTGGGCTGTTTATTGAGCAGCGCACTTTACAGGAGGATACCAGTTACCAAAGCTTGGTAATGGGTTTTAGTTAGGCTATTGGAGGAATGGTCTCCATCACAGCCATTAAAGGGTCAAAAAGGGAGGAGTCAGATAGTGTTTGAAAGTTTTGGAGTCTACAAAAGGGTTGTATAGAGGGACAAGATCTGACACCCTGACTCAGAGAGAGATCCACAAAACATTTAGGCAACTAAATCCAAAATGTAGATCCTTCAAACTTCCCCTTCCACTACCGTCTAACCCCATAGGCACCTACATTCTCTAAGTTAATTTGTTCTCATTAATAGAATCCCCTATATGCCAATATGTGGTTGGTGAGTATGCAAGCCAACCTAGTCCTGATACCCTGCATCTAGCTTCTGCCTGGTAGGACCTGAAACTAGGCATTTGCCCCACCTATCTCAGCTGATTTGGTAGCTTTCCAGATTGGGCCTCACATGAAATGAGGATGCTGTCACTGCCCCTTTAACGTATGATCACCCAATGCTTAGAGCACACATGTAGGCTGTGAGAAGCTAAGGTTCAAAATCTCCTCAGCCTGTGAAGCAGAGACTTGAACCTATGTTTTCGGTGTCCAACCCTCTAGGACATACTCAAGCTCTTAAAGTACATCTAACATTATGGAGAAGATCAATCCTCTGGAGGTCGATCTTCTAGCATTCAATTTAGCGGGTCTAGAGTAAACTCCCAAATTGAATGCTGAGGGCAGCCCCAACCAGGGTCTTGTACCCATTCTGCAAGGAGTAAGGGAAGCTGATGGGAGTGTGCACTCCCGTTGGTCTCCTACAGTGTAGACACTGTGGTGGCTGGGCTTAAGGTAAGCTGAATCCAGCCCCGCATTTTGCGTAGCTGTATGGCTTACCTTAAGCCAACCTGCCTGGTCTAGGGCAGACCCAGGCTATCTGCTTATTTGTGGGAAACTATTCCTTCCAAATTATATGAACTACAGTCATTAGATGAGAATATGTATGAGAATGACTTCATGTCCCAGGAGTTGAGGTTCTCTCCATGGAGGCGGGAGAACCAAGATCCAACCTCTTACACTAAATTATTTATACAAAGTGGGACAGCTTCAATAGGAGAGACTGAGAGAACCCCATCTAAGAATTCCCCATAGCCCAGTGATTAAGGCAGAATCTCCAGGAGAGGGCACACAGCTATGAATTGCAAGTAGAAGAAAGCATCTGCTTAGTGCTTTGAAGAGTGGAGCTTAGGTCATGTCTTCTCAGGATTTTCTATTGGCTAGCTTAGGCAGCTCCCAATTCAGTTCACTGGTTTTTATGAATCCCATTCTCAAGCATCCAATTATCTCCAGGGAGCTGGGACATCTAACTCATGGGTTCCTCTAAGCAGCAGGGAACCTAAAAGACATTGCAATGCCTATGTCCCTTTTGTGGATCTCCCCCTGAGTATTAACAGACCACTGTGAATTATATTACTATCAGAGTGTAGAGAGGCTGGGATTGAGTCTAGTCAAAGCAGTACAGACTTGCCTAGTGCAGAAATCTGTTTATGACTGGCCATTCTCTCTTCACAGGAAGTTACTTTACAAAAGGAAACCAGTTTATGTGGAAGAGCACATACTGTTGAGGTTTTTCCGGTAAATTGGGATCCCATTCATTCAGGATTGGAGTTACTTCATCCATAGCATAGCTCGGAATGGAAGTCCCTTGGTTTCTGCCAATCAAAGGTGGCATCTGAATGCAGAGAAAAGTATGGAGACCTCTTGACAAGAATAATAATTCAGTAGTATAAATGTGCTAAGTTATTCCTGTTTATTTCTTCAGGCTCAGGAGAACAGATCATAGAAGCTGGTAGATAGAGGAAAGCACAATATCGTTCATTTAGCCACAAGTGGGTTGACAGTTCCCTAGGAAGTTCATAGCTGGGTCTCAGTGGTGATGCAGCTGAGTTAGCCTGAATGTGGCAGCATGATCTGGAGGTAGCAGCTAATTTTTTTTATACTTGCTGGACAGGGAGAAGTCATGTGAATAGATCTGTGCACACCTGGAGACAGGACTATCTGGGGATTTAGTAAAGGGGTAGAGTTAAGGATAACAAAAATTAGGGAGTGGAACCAAGCAGTAAGTATAACCTGGGCTCCACAGATGCCACAGAAGAGGTTATAGAAGGGGAGTCACCTGGCCTTTGTGAAGGGGTAAGGCTAGCAGAAGTTATTTAGAGTAACTAAATTAGATGAGTGGTGGTAAGGATGAGGATTTCCCATCACAAAATTGCATGTTATTCCAGGAAGAGGCAATATAGTTCTCCACTTGGTAAGTGGGTACGATTCTGGTGGCTATTGAGGAAGGAACTGTTAACAGTCTGGATAGTGGGAAGCAGTCAAGGAAATTGCTGGTACCTTGTCATTGCAGATGCCTAGTGCATGCACACTTTCAATAGGTGTCCAAGTTCCCTGGAAAACTGACATTAGAAGCAGATCAGAAGGCATCTCCTAAAGAAGCTAGGGAATTGGGTTGAATCTCAATGTCTGGTATAGACAATGAGTCAATTCTCTCACCACCTTAACTCTGTTCTCGGGAAAGATGGGATCCCAACAACGGGGTAGGAGTCAAGTTATGGGGGTCTCTAAATCCCCAAATACCTCCCTCTGCTACTCACCAAATGGAATGGAGGAATAGAGAGCTGATGATAGATGGTAGAGATTACATTAAATGACCTGAATTGGGTGAGTTATTGTTGGCTAGTTCAGAAATAGGTTACTTAATAAAGCTGCAGCCTAATTAAGCCACATTCCTGGTGACTTGTTTTTTCTTACTGCAATGATTAGGACAATTGCTTAGATCTCCATCAACCAACTCATACACAAAATCATCCACATGCAATAATTGTTTTAAAAGACACTAGATTGAAGTGTTTGACATTTTGGTTATTATCCATTGGGAGCCCAGAGAGAACATGTCTAAGTGTTTCTTACCTTCTCTGTAACCTAGATGTTGTGTGTGATCCATTTAGTTTAATTATGATGGTTGATTGCTGTTCCTTCTGGAAAATAAAATAAAAATTATCCATTGTCTGGATAGTACAGAAGAACTTCACTTAGTATTTAACCACTTCACTGGAGGAGTCTGACATTATAAATACATTAATAGAAATTAATCATTTTAACTAAATGGAAATAGAACTTAAGTGAACACAGGAAACCTGCCCATACCTGTCACCACAGCATAAGAAATTATCGAATATACAAGAGTGAAGGATCATAAGTCATTCTATTTGCTTTACAAAATGTAGACCATTTAAACACTTTGTATCCAGTACTGTACACAAGATGAGAAACAGGGAAATAAAAATAAACCTTTATGCTAAATTGATTATATTTTTTAAAAGTATGTATCATTAAGTAATATTATATGAGTACTGGAACCAAGTAAACTAAACGTTTATTAACAAGAAAATATTCTGATTTTTATTTTTTCACGTTATTATCAAGTACACAATTACAATAATGTCACACATCCCTATATGATTCTATGTATTTTGTTTTTTTCTTTTTCTTTTTTACAAAGTGTACAGAGGGAGGGACATACAATATTTAACAGGGCATTTCTACAGAACAATAATTTATATTATGTCCTTGTAAAAATTTGTACCTTTTAAAACATTTAACTGAAACATCCATTTTATAGCATATGCTAATCAAATTATTTAAGAATTAAAACTAGCCTGTAACTGTCAGTACATTAACAATAACTACAAATCCATTTTCTCTTTATACAGACAAATACATTTTACAAAATCCACTTGACCAAATCCTTAATTTTTCCTTTAAAAAAGGTTTCAGTATTGTGCTTAAAAAAAAGTGTATGATTCCAGACTATATAAGAGAAATAAAGTGTGTAAAATGTGTGTTCTTTGTCTTTCAGCTTATTTAAAAATATACAGTTCAAAATAGCTAGAACTTCTTAATAATATTGTGGGAATTTATGTGGAATTTTCAGGTTTTCACTTGCAAAACACTTGAGAAAAATTAATCTGAACAAAGACAGTTCACAAAATTTCAATGGAAAATGTGCACCAAGTTTTTTTTATACACTATGGACCTGATCCTACAATATACAGCTTGTAGGCAGACTGCTGTGAGCACACACATTTCCACTGAAGACAGGCACAGGAGTCTGCTCACCAGTTACACATGAAAAGATCAGAACCTCTTTATTATTAGCAACATTAACGAGTGTAGCGCTGGATCAGTACATCTGGCACCATTAATCAGACATCACAAAAAAGTGTGGGGAAAAACAGCATTAGAAAGCATTAGCATTGCCTGAAAAGACAAGTTCAAGTTAAACTCAAGTGTTTACACTTACAATAAAACATATGGAGTAGCTGAGCGATAATTGCTGTCCTCAATGAAAAAAACAAAACAATAAAGATTTAGGACAACCATCTGAAAGAGGAAAATTCACTCACTGTGGGTCTGATTAAGGACTGAGAGTCAACTTCTGCATCCCCTTGCTCCCAGTTAGTAGTTCCATTAAAAATAATGAAACTACTCCTATGCGTAAGTGCTACTTACTTGGTAGGATTAGTACTTGCAGGATCTGTCTAATCCTATTGTCATTTGGGGCCACATCCTTCAATTCTTACTCAAACACTGACTTCAGTGGGAGTTTGGATAAGGACTGCCAAATCAGGCCCAAATACATAAGTAATTCAGTTTTGTTTTACCTTTTGTTAACTCAAGATACATGACTGTGTTTTGCGTATTTATACAACAATTAGTAACCAACATTAGATTATAGTTTTATCTTAGCAATAGACTTCAAGTGGTAAAATTACATACAATTGTAAGGCCTTCACATTTGTTTATAAACAGACTATAAAAACTGGATTAATTCTGGATACTAATTATTTAATAAACAGCAGCTTAGCACAGATGCTGATGGTTCATGAAAAACATTCTATTTAGAAACAGTTCTTCCTATGTTTCTTCCTATAATTTATTATTTTTATTAAGGATATCTGCATGAAAATTGGACCTCTGTTCCTTAAAAATTATCTGCTTCTACTATTTCCTACTTGCAGTTCTCTAAATAACACATCTGCAAAATTGTCTGAGACATCTATTGGACTTCAGTTTTATTCTAAAGTAATTCCCAGTAAAAAATGTGATTATTTGTCCCAAATACTGCTGTTTCATGTTTTTATACATAAAATCGTCTTCAATTTGGATATACACTTAGTTGTAGCACAAAAGTTGCAACCTATCCAGGTAAGTGGAATAGCTGTATTTTATGTTTTCGGTGTTAGTCAGTAGAAGTTGAGAAAACCAAACTCTTTTGTGATACATAACCATTCAAAGACAAAGCAGCATAGAGAATAAACATAATACTTATGAATAAATTCTTACTCCACAGAGTGTATTAAAAAAAAATGCCCCAACAATCATTTTACTTGTTTTAGAGGGAGGAATGAGATCTTTTGTAAAGGAAACCTGAATTAAAACGCAGAATGTACTTTTTGTTCAGCAATACTAAATAGAATTGTTCAAATGTAAAGTTTTTAATTTGCCATAAGTTCTGAATACACTAAACAAGACAAACAGGTTGGCCCTAATAACATTATTCTTGACATTAAAATTCCCCAGGTTATTTTATACATGTCTGACAATATTATCAAGAGAAAATTTAAAATATTTTTAAAATTCACAACAAAACTGCATTAACATGGACACTGTGAGTACCAACAAAGTCAGTAAGATAAATGTTTAAATAAGCTATTACGGTTGAAAAATTCAGTATGAGACAGGGTTTACTTTATTAAATGCAACTTTATTGTTGCCATCTTTTCCTCATTTATTAAACAAACTGAATAGAATTGAGAACACGCTATTGAACAAAATGTATAAAAGTCAACTAGAAGCAATAATCCTATTTGTATACAGCAATAAATCAAATGCACAGTATTTTTGTTTATTTTTTTTCTTTGTGTAATCGCAGGTGATTGGCTTTAAAATAAGCTGTCTGAAAAGCAATATCCTTTACAACTCCAAGCCACAAGTCTGCAAAAGAGACTTTAAGGCAGCCCAATATCTTTATGATGCCGCATAATGTGCTGGTTCTTCTCTGAAGGCCGTCGGAAACCTTTCTTGCAGTACTCACAACGATGAGGGTAGTCTTTTGTATGAATAGAAATAACATGCCGCTTGAAGCCTGAGGCATCTGTAGTGCTATACTCACAGTACTCGCATTGATAAACTTTCCTGCCACTGTGTGTTTTCATGTGTTTTTTTAGCTCATTTTGTTGCCTAAACCCTTTTCTACATCTCTTACACCTGAATGGAAGATCCTTTGTGTGAACTGAGAGAATGTGGCGACTTAGAATAAACGGATCCGCAATCTTAAAGTCACAATGTCTGCATTGGTGCAATTTTTTACCCTTATGGGCTGCCACATGTTTTTTCAGTTCTGAGGGCCTATGAAAGCCTTTATCACACATATCACACTTATGAGGATAATCCTTTGTGTGGACTGATATTATATGTCGTTTCAAATCACTTGAGTTTGAGCTCTTGTGGTCACAATGCAAACACTGGTGTGTTTTGCTTTCTTGATGTATAAGTACATGCTGCTGCAACTCTTTGGTATCTGAAAAAGTCTGAAAACAAATATCACACTTGAATGGCATTTCCTTACTATGTTTAGTCTTTACATGAGTTTTCAAATTAGAAGAGTCAGCAGACCTATAATCACAATACTGGCACTCATATGGCTTTTCACCAGTATGGATTCGCATGTGCTTCTTGAGCTCTGATGGATGACGAAATCCCTTGCCACACTCTACACAAATATGAGGAAAGTTCTTGCTGTGAACAGCCAGAAGATGACGACTCAGTAACCCTTGTTCTGCTGTCTCATACTCACAGAATTTGCACTTATGCATTTTGTTGGCTCCTTTGTCCCTATGCACCATCTTGTGAGTAAATAAAGCTCCTGCATGAGAGAAGCTCTTCCCACACTCATCGCATTCAATAAGCTTTTCTGTTTTATTAATCAGCTTGTGACTCTCCAGGTGATTATGTAAACTTATTTTTTTATTGGTAGTGTAATCACAGTCTGTGCATCTGTATTTCTTCTTAGTAAGAAGGTGCTCTGGATGGTTTTTCATATGCCTTTTCAAGAAACCTCTGGATTTAAACTTCTTTCCACAAATCATGCAAGGGTAGACAGTCAAAGGATGACCATCAGGACCAATGATTATTGCTGAAAATAAACAAAAAGTATTTTGAAATTAACAGTCAAACATACTTCAAAGCATTTCATTAACATGATGTAACAATAAGTAATACTGTTAACTGAATCTAAAGTGAGTTACTTCCATTCATGTTAAGTTCACTTTAACTTTTTTTCTGCACTAATCATAAAGCACCAATAGTCAGAATTTCCCAAAAGTAACAAGTGCAGACTCAATACTCTGCATTTAGTGGTACTGTCAAATATAAAACATACAGAAAGAAGGGTGTCTTTACAACCAATGAATCAATGTCACACAGACCACATGAAATAAATTTGTAAAAATTCAATAAGGAATAATTTAACATGTCAGTGATTACAGCTTCTTCAACAGTCTCTCAAAATTGTCTTAATTAGAATCTCTAACTTTTATTCAAAGACAGAAAAATTTACATTACAGGACAACTTCTATGAGCTAACAACATAACCTCACAAAGCAAACTATTTATGTTCCCCTTAACATTCCAGATTTTCAAGTTATCCTTTTTTTAAAAAAAGGAAGTCCATTCATACCACACACACTCCTACACAATATCATTTCTGTAACATATTGTGCATTGCTTGCTATGAGATCAGATAGCAATATGTGGTTTTTTTTCTCTATATGAATGGCAAGGAGTTAGCAGTCATTTCTTTTGGAAGCAGAATTTACAAGTGTTATTTATGTCTTTTTCTTCTCAAGATTATACTACTGTAATGAAATCTACATGGGATTACACATTAAAGCCACACAGACTGAAGTTGGTACAAAACTTATCAGTTCATTTATTAAGCAGAACATCACCCTGTGAGCATTTTATATTGGTGCCCCATCATCTGCACTAAATGGCCAAAGACCTATATACCTGAAAGACTTAACTCTCTCCTCATGTCATATGTCTCAGTTACAAGCAGGAGACATGTTCAAGCTGGACTCCTCTTGGTATGAATGGGAGTGGGTCAACAGGAGAAAATTTTATGTAAGGGCTCCTCAGCTTTGAAACTCATTTCCTGATATCTGACCAAATTAGCCAGAATTTGATGACCTTCTGGGCACTCTGTGAAACACATTTTCCTCCAAATAGGAGTGAATTATCAGGGTAGTTGGCAATGCAAAAGGAAGGATCTTTAATTTGCCTAGTCTGCTACTTGGGAGCTACATAAGATGGAACTGCTGCAGTTTAGTTACAATGGAAAGGTACCCTTTTTTTTTGTTAGAAAAATAAATAATTCAGTGAAGGTAGAAGCCTACTGATGTCAACACCATGCAGCTGCTCTTCTGGTTTCAAACAAAGATTCTGAAAAGAGCCACGAGGTAAATTATTTCACAATTATTGTAAGTTTAAGAGACATGAGAGAAGTGTACAGAATTTATATCGGATAAAATAACTTATGATACTCAGACTCATTTAGTTACTTGTTAAATTAACTGCCATAATTAACTTTACTGAGTTTACTGTCTATACAAAAAGACAAACAGCTTTTTAGAAAGATGCCATTTACACCAATGTTTCATTTGGCCAAGATCAGCTTTTTAAAAAGGTTACATATGCTAGTCAATTCAAATCTGTACATCAAGTTAAATGTATATTGCTTTTGTTTTGGCTGAGAGTTCACTTCCATTTGAAGTTGTGATGTTAAATTTTCCTAACATTTTGTTTCAGAATTTTCAGAAAATACAAGCTGGATATGTCAGCAGAACATCCTGCCAACAAATCATAGAAGCAAAGTAACCATATTCACTCTAAAGAATGGTGTGTATTCAAAACCTCAGTGGCAATGCACAACCATGTACCTTTATGGAGGTACTTTTATGGCCTTATCATTGAATTACCTAAGCATCTAAGTACTTACCTGTTTGGTACTGCCTGGATTCAGGTCTCCTCCTTTTCTTTGGTTTTTGTTTAGCTAGTCTCCCAAGTCCAGAAGACTCATCTATGTGCAAGAGAGCACTTGCAGTGCCGTTCCGGCTTTCAATCCCATCAGTATTATTACCTAATAAGATAGATTGCAATTACTTACTACTATCACTCTATAATGATAAACAAAAAATAGGCAAAAGACCCTTTTAACCTATTAAGTTTTAGCTAAACTATGATAATTTGGTTAAACCAAATGGGCATTAAAATTAATTGATCCACAAGTACTTGTCTCAGCATATGAAAACATCTAGAGCTACAGCTATGTAATTGAGAACTGAATGGTAGAGGTATGGATTTATATGGGGAAGGATCTGGATTCAAATCCAATGCAGTTTACAGAAAAACTTAAGTCTCTTTTACATAGGTTTCTTTCTTTCTAATCTCAATATTGCATTTTAAAAAAAGATTTTTGCCACATATTTCTGGTAAGTAATTCTGTACAAAGAATTTCTAATCTCAGGGAACAGGCAAAAGTCATGCTATTTAGACCCAATATCCATTATTCTATTAGAATTCAATCCTGTAAAACAGTGGTTCCCAACCTGTAAGGGCACTGGAGGGGGTCCACAGAAAGTTTTTAAAAGTAAGGATCAGGCCAACCATGATAAGCCCGATCCTTACTCCCCCTCTCCCCCGGATTGCAGGGCGGTGGAGCAGCAGCCATGCACATTGGGATGCGGCTTGCTTTTGATGCCGTCTCCAGAAGCTAAGGGAGCAAGGGGCAAGTGTTTGCAGGATGTGCATGTCTCTCACATCTGACTGGTGTGTGTGAGGCATGCACAGCATGCAAGCACTTTCCCCTTGCTCCCTTAGAATCCAGGGAACGGGATCAAAAACAAGCCGTGTCCTGGCAAACATGGTGGCTCTCCTCCCCCACACTCCCAAAGTTCCACCTTTTCCCCTTACGCTCCCAAAGTTCCACCCTTGAGGAGCTAGCAGCCCTTGGACCACAAGAATCCCCTCGCTCTGTGGATGGGCAGGGGACAGAGGGGACAGGAGCTGAGGAAGCAGTGCAGGTGAACAGTAGCCAATGGGACCCGAGAAGCTCCATGCTCAGTTACTTTTTACTAATTTTTTCTCTTTTTGTGAACATTTCACCCTGCTCTAGCCGTTCAAAAGCTATTAGAGTGGCAGGAAGGGTTTAACTGGCTAGCAAAAATGGATTGTTTGGCAGGGTCTGTGAAATTTTAATAGATTGAAAAGGGGTCCATATGTTCAAAAAGATTGGGAACCGGTCCTGTAAAACCTTTACAAGTGAATGCCCATTCAGTTCAAGCCAAATGACTTGACTTGAAAAAAAACCCAGAAGTTTCACATGCAGAGGCTTTGCAGGATTGGATATGTAAGTTTAGGAATCATTTCTGAATGCGCCAGCGATTCTCATAAGTAGAAGAACAACATAAATATACGTAACTCTCACTCTACTCAAATCTGGAGATTTAACTTTGTATAAATTAATTTTGGAGAGAGTGAACAGTGCGCTGAACACTGTATAAAAACAAAGAGAAGGATACAGCCCTTCCCCCAAGAAGCTTACATTCAATATACATAAATAGTAGAATGACATAAAATGCACCAGATAATGGGTTTAACTACAAGTGAAATAATTAAAGATATTTGCTTTCTATTTAACAACACATCTTTTGTTGGTTGTTGAAGGCTGATAAGCAGTGTTCCCTTTAACTTTTTCCATCCACATGCAGAATAAATTTTGTTATGTGCACCAAGACACATGCAGATAAAAACACTGTGGGTGCCCTGCCAATCAGCTGGGCAGCATCTGAGTATCTCTGGGGTAGCCACTCAAGTTAGCTCAGCTTACAGGGAACATTGCTGAGAAGATTTTGTGGAATATGTAAGCTTTAAAGAGTGGTCTGAAGAAGAGTGGCCTCTTTATGCATCAGGAGAGGGAGGCCATTCAAGGTGGAAGAGGCAGCATATAAGCCAATGTGAAGACAAGAATGGGAGGAGGACACAAAAGGAAGCAGCTAGGTATCAAAGTAAAGAGTTGATGTGAGAGTTTAGAAATTAATCAGAGCAAAAAATGCAGGCAGGAACAGACTCATCCATAGCTTGAGGATTCTGAACTTCATGTGTCAACTGAAGAAAGCCAGAAAAATGGCTGAAGAGTCTGTGTGGCAGGTGACAGATAATTTTGGAAGTGAGAACTAAATTCACACCGGACACCAATAGAACATACGCTGAGGTATGTACACAAGGGTCCTTACAGAATATGACATGACAAAATTTGGTGTAACTGGTCTCAAATACAAAAATTGTTTCCCCTACTTACTAGAATGGAAAGTAGTAGTGCTATTGGACTGTCACATTGCAGCAGAAAAATAATGTGATTTTTTAAAATCCTCCCTAGAAACATTACCTCCAGCACTCTCTTCTCTTTTGAACCTGTCATTGACTTTGAGGTTTCTTATCTGATCTCCTCTAAAACCTCTTTAACCTGCCTCAACAACATCCATGACACGATTTCTGCTCCCCTTTTTTCTCACCGCTCCCTTCAGTTTCTGTATTCTGACAATACAAGCACTCCTGTTTCTCACGTCCTAAAAAAATCTCCGCTTTATACATTTCACTTCTCTGACTACTGTCTTCATCTTTAAACCTCAGAATGTGCTGTCTACAACTTTAAACTCCATTTTGGATCTCCATTGAAATTGCACTCACTAAGATCTTGCATGAATTTTTGATGGACAAACTTAAGGCCTCCAACTAACTCCTTGATTTCAACACTTTTTAACAAACATTGTCCTTCTTGACATCTTATTCTCGTGGCCTTTCATGTCCCCATCCTCTCATTGTTTTCTTCATCTTTTCCAATAACTTCCTCAGCATTTCACTGACCCTTTTCTCTGACATGACTGATAATATCACCATGGTCTGTATCACTTAGCGCTATAGCTAAAATGTCATCTTTTATTTCACATTCTCTCTAACTCTACACATCCAAAATGTGTTTAAATTTTGCTGCTGCTTCTGCAAAAACCTTTTTTATGATCTAGAATTTTCTCTGTCAGCACAAATGTAGCGACGCACAAGCTGGACTCTGGTTTCTTCTCCTGCATCCCTCACAAATCAGTGAAGGCTGCCTTTATTTACAAATGTTTTCCACCACCACCACACCACCGAATCTATGTATGTTCTTCACACTTCACCAGCGGCAAACCAAAGGGCTGGGCCGATCTGTGTCTCACGTATCTGTGCCTAACCTCACTCTTCCATCCCTTCTGCTATCTCTCCTGGTTTCCCTTCTCCCTGCATTTATAGTCCCCAAACTAATTAGGCCAGCAGATGTTTCTCATCACCAGGAGGGCACAGGGCTGTTCAATCAGCTCCAATCTATTTCCCTTGACTGTGGCTGTAGTGGCTGCAGGTTGATTAAGCCCTCCTTACTCAACACCCTGTCACAAGAACTAACACTCATCCAAGCCTTAATCCAGTTTTACTAATGCAATCTCCTCCTCCTGTATCCTGGCAAATCCACTTCAGCCCATTCAGGTCCATCCTATGGATGTAATAGTATTGTGCCATGTTTCTCAAACTGTGGGTCCCAACTCCGGGGGGGGAGAGTGTCACGGTATCATAAAGTTTGAGAACCCCGGTATAGTCGATTAACCGATAAGCAAAAGCTTATAGGTTAATTCTATAGACTACACATATTTCCTTCCCTCTACCTTGCCAGCAAATTGTTTACCAGGCTGGCCAGCAGCCCGGCTCAGTCCTAGTTTGTGATGCGTCCGGGACCTACTCCCTCTGCAACTCTGCATTTAAAGTGTATTAGGAGCTGGACGGGCAGGCAGCCAAGCTCAGTTCCAGCTCATGCCAGGTCCCGTGAGGGGAGCTGGTTTTTAAACAGGTTCCTCTCACAGATCAGCTCTCGCCTGGTACCCCGCACCGCTGCCTCTTGATAGAGGCAGCAGCGTGGAGTGGCACGGGGCTCTTTCGGAGTGGGCCAGAACACACTGGCTGCCACCCCCATCCCAGGGACTATAGACTAGTTGAGTAACCAATAAGAATTTGTGCACTTTAATTAATTAATATTTAATATTCCTAATCTATCCATATAGGAGTTAAGATTCTGCTCCTATTGTTCTTCCTGTTTTGAGCACATCCACTGGCTTCCCTTTCCAGTTGCTTCTCATTTTTAAGTCCCTCAATTGTCATCTCTAAATTAATTTGTAGTCATTACTCTGTTGTTCTTCAGATCCCTCCTCAACATTCACTTCATCTTTGATGACTGTGTGAAACTTTCAACTAATAATGGACAGGCAGGAATCCAGAAGGGCTCTTAATTGATCAAACAGCTACTTAGCCATGTATTCCTATCACTATTACCTTTATCCTATTTCTTTCATTATTTAATGTGTTACACCATTTGTTGCAATTTATTTTAAATTATACTGTAAAACCTTAAGGGCAGGGACTGTCTCTTACTTTGTATTTGGACAACATCTCACATACACAGTCCCAATCTTGATTGGGGTACTTGGATGCTTCTCTAACATAAATGATCTAGTCCAACAAGGAGAAAAGTTAGTTCAGATCAGATGCCCAGATACCACTAAGCAAGAGCAACAATTCTGAAATACTGTAGAGCAACTCTTGAGTTGTACCCAAGAATCATTTAAACAGAAAGTACCGTACAGGTACCTTTCCTGTTTACTTTTTGAAAGTGATTTAATTTCCCAAGTTCCAGGCTACATATTTATGCACTCACCCAAGCACCCCAAAATAAAGTCATATGGTAACACTGCTTCTCAGCTAAGACTTAACTGAATCCTACATTCTCCTGGTTGTCACTTCTGACAAAAATATTCATCTCTCTATTCCCAAGCCAGACTTCATTGTATTCCAAAACTGCCAAGACTAGAGGTACTCAAGATGCAATTTTTCAGCTGGAAACCTGTGTACTTTTGCTGTACCTCCTTCCACATTTTATACATACATACACACACATATATATATATATATATATATATATATATATATACACACACACACACACACACACACGAATGAAGGGAATGTCTGTTAAAATGGAAACAAAAAGAAGCTTTTTTCATCTTCTTTTTCAGGTATCTGTGTTTTATTTGGCAACTGTAGGATACAAAATGCCAAGGAGATATTCAGATTTTAAATGCTTTTGCAGATATTTTGCTACCACCAATCCCAGCCTTGAAGAAGTGCTTGTACAGGACCTACCATAAGCTGCTGCCCAAGCTATGGGCATAAAAGTTTTAATTTCAGTGTCATCAATTTGCTGTTCATGGGCTACTGCTGCATCTTCCTCCCCTACAATCACTTCCATGTAAACTTCATCAGCAATTTCTGCAACATCTAAGAAAAAAAGAAATTAAGAATAAACAGCCTTAATAGTAATTTCACATCACTGAAAATAAAAACCTTTTCCCCAAAAAAAGGCCACCTACTTACTTAAATCTTCATCTTCATGCTGAGAATCGTTTACAGTCATATAAACCATTTTTTCCCTGGGAATACGAACACTACTATTTTGATCAAGCAGTCCCACTCCGTGATCATTCTCAGATTCACTCTCCACAATGTCTACTGTGCCTCCTAATTAAGAAGACCAGAGTAAAGTTTAAGAATATTTTTCTATGAAATTTTAAACTGAAAAATAAAAGTCTACATTATTTGATATTTAGAATCTATGTTCCTTCACAAATGATTTGAGAAAAAACAACACAGTCTGAGTATACAGGATTTCAGAAGTTAGACTGTTCTAAAATGACTACACTGATTTACCTAAATCATCCTCTCCAGGATCAGCTTTAAAGATATATACTTTGATGACTTCTGGACAAATGCTGTCCACTTTACATGGATCATTTTCTGACTCTGCTTCCATGGTGATTTCAGCAGAACCTTCATGTTCGATCTTCCCAGTATCATCCACTACAAAGACAAATTATTATATAATTACATTCTCTATACAAAAAGCTGCAAATAAGAAAGGTTTCACTTTATCATTTCAGTTTGAAAATGGTTAAAAATGAAAAAATAAGTTAAGTGTCTTGACACTGCAGTGGAAGAAGCCACATCTAAAGAACTGCTTAAGATTCCTCAGAAACAAAAGAGAGACAGAAGACACAAGATTTTCATAATCTAAATAAACTGTATCACCCTATCACATTTCTTATTTAAAAAAAAGTTGACTAGAAAGGGGGTTACCACCACAATCACTAAGCCTTACTTCTTCTGGGTGAGTGGAGAAAGAATTTTAAGCAATCCCAGACCCCACCTGCTCAGAAAAGAAGGGGCCAAGTTCAGTTTCAAGCTAATGAATTGTCACTAATACTGGCAAATTCTGATTTCATTAATTCCTGTCAACTTCTCCAAAGAAAGGAATTAAAATATATGTAGTATTACAATCTTATACCTAAGGACATAAAAGGTTTAACAATTAGCCGGTTACCTGGTAAGCATGAGCCTTAATGACATGCTTACTGGGTAATCAGTGGGACCAACTCCCTCGCCCATGGTGGATGCAGCAGTATGGCAGGGCTGGTCAAGAGCAGCCTCCGCTGACTGCAGTAGGGCAAAGCTGGAGCATCTTCCACCACCCACACTGCGGTTAAACCAGTTAAACAAATCATTAACCGGTTAATTATTTCAGTGGGTTTTAACATCCCTGCTTATATCCATTCCCTATTATTATTTTGAACTCATGGCAAAACAGTGTCTTAAAGACTGTACCTGTTCCATTGCTGCTCTTCAGTGGACTTCCTCCAAGCAGCATAGTGGCAATATAACTCTCACACATACCCACATTAATGTGATAAATTAAAATTAACTTTTCATTAATCTTTTAAATGGCTCACCTACCTTCTGCCCACTGAGCCTCTAGGTACTGGTACTAATTCTAACACTACAAACTCATAAGCAGAAATCTGGTATCTTTTTAAAATACATACCATAAAATGTTTCTTTGCCCAAATGTTAACTTTTATCTCAAAACACTAATTTTCACAGGCTTACAAAGTCCACTCTCTCAAAATCCTATAGGGATTTCCTCTTTTCAACAGGATCCAGCATTTTTTCCTAGCACTGACCTGACAGACTCCAAAGCACTGGACTTAATGTCATATGTTTTATGTACAATAAAGTAACTTTATATCTCTTTTTGAAGTTTTTATGGCTCTTTAAAAGTCATGTATAGTTTAGAATCATGATAACAAAAGGTATGTTGTTAAAACATTTATAGAAAAAGAAATGAAAAACAGGACCAATAACATACTTTAAAACACGAAAAAAATTCTAATAGCTTTCTGTAATATGAACCATATACAGAGTACATGATGATGTAGTATAAAAGTTGTAACGGTGTTCAAGTGGAATGATCTACATTAGTCAGTCATGGTTTTGCCATTCATGAACAATACAGCCAACCTGCGCATAATGCTGACCTCCTTTGTAAAGTGGTTTGAGACATACTAATGCAAAGAGCTATACAAAAACTAGGTATTATTATTATCGTGCAGTTATATCAACCTATAACCTTTATACCATATATACAATCAAAGTATTCTGCCTCTCATACATACTATACATATGTTTACACATACATAAATTTTCTCAGCAAGAACTATAAATTAACAGCTATCACTATTTGCATATAATATTATTCATTATGTTACATTACAGCACTAGAAATGGCAGTAGGAATGCACCAAACATTGTTTTTGCAGGTGAATGATGAACACTGCAGAATACAGAGCTTTTAAAATTCCAAGAAAACCTACAGTACAATCTGAAATTACTTTAGAACAGAGTGTTGAGAACCTCAGACCTGGGGCCAAATGCAGGCCCCAGCTTGCCTATATCCATCCCCCAAGGCTCAGGGTCCCCCCTGCATTGAGGAGCCTGTGCTGGGATGCTCCAGGCTCTGGTGTGTGACAGGATTGTGGGGAGCATCTTTCTTCTTCTCAGTTGGGCACCACATCAATGAGGAGGTTTTGTGTGCAGCTCTTGACTGATTTTTTCTGTGGGTCAGGGGCTCTTGACCCAAAAAAGGTTCCCCACACCTACTTTAGAAACAAGATCCTAGATCAAAGGATAATGTCCTTGTTAACATGGCTGTAACTGAAACTCAGAATCTTCTAAATAGGGGGAAAAGCCAAGACATTATTGGTGATACATTATTTCAGATCACTCCAAAAAGGCATCCTTACTATAGCAGGTGTTCTCAGCTAACTGGAAACACTTTTATAAAAATAATTCCTTGGATTATACAAGAGACTCCAACCATAATAAAATTATAGCAGAGGAGAAAATGTTTTGCTACCATTCCTCAAGTATACTTTTTGCTTTCTTCATTCTGTAGGATTTAATTACTCCCTTCTGAACTGGCTATTGGTATTGTCCATCATGTCTAGATAGTGCTTTCTCATCAATAGGGCTTGATACTGCCACACTGAAGCATCTAACTGTACGGGTTTAATTGAGGCTTTGATAGCCTTGTAACTACTTATTTTAGGGTATACAGTTAAAACTGTTTTGTATTATATAGTGATTTTGTAAATGAATACTTTCCATGCATCTTTCCAAATTCTCAATTTCAGTTAGAGAAAATGAGGTTTACAAGCATCAACCTTGAATTTTTAATTCAAGTACATGACCTATCCATGATCTTACCCACGAATGCGCCAAAAATAGGTTGCTGCCATTTTCTTATATTCTCCCTCCTGAAAGTAAAAAATGAAAATGTGTTCCTATCTGGTAATTTAATTTCTCAAAGAATTAGGATAAGTTGCATGTTCTTTTTAATAAAGGACTGTGACCTTCCAAGTAGGTACATCAGGCAGTTGTTAAACTGGTCATAGCCCGTATTACGGCAAAGAAGAGATAGAATGATCTTACTCCAAAGCTGTAAAATGCAACCTTATTAACTAAAATCTGATAAACTTTATTAAAAATTAGTAAGTGAACGGATTATGTTTTGATTCCTCTACACCAAAATTTCACTTCAGTACAATGGTGCATTGCAATTGCTTCTCCAAATAAATAAATTAAATTAAATAAATAAATAAAGGAAAACAAAATAAAAACCTTAAGAAACTAAATAAATACTTTTTTCTAAAACAGCAGTATTCAAACTATGCTGGTGGTCTTCAGAGAGCTCATAAGATCACCTGATGCTGGCTCTATTCTTGTTTCCAGTTGCTTTCGTTTACTTTAAAAAATGGTACAAAAATGCACTTTCCTAATGTTATTTTTCTATGTATGCAATTGCTATAGTTGCTACAATGATTTTATGTGATCACAAATGGAAGAGGAAGTTGGACTGCACGTTTGTGTTCATAGGTACAAACAATCCATAAAAGAATCTGTTAATGTAGTCCACATGAAAAATCTTGGGAACCCCTAATCTAAAGCATATCTTAATATTCTCCATATTGAGGAATAACTCAGTAAGACCAAGAGAGAATAAAGGAATGACTAAGAGCAGTACAAGGGAAGACAAAATATATTTTATATATTAATAGCATTTAATTGATCTGTTGCCTATACTATTATAGCATTTACCTCCCACCAAACATTAGATCTTGAAAAATTCTTGTATATGAACAAAATGCACTATAAATTGTGGCAAAATGTGACCATGGAAAGACCAAACGGTATAAACTGCTCCCATTTCTCTACTCCAAAAATGTAGCAAATCGTGCATCTATTCAGGTGTCATCCTATTACATGTAAAAACTCATCAAGAAATCCACACCAAGCTAGCTTTTGAATAAAAAAAAAATCTCCACGTTTACATTAATTTCACTAAGAAAAGAATCTGGCCCAAGATCCCTGAAGCCAGTTTGGAACAATAAAAACAACATGAGTTCTGCTGTCAAAGATTCTCATTATCACAGGTAATAGACAAAATAGTTAGGATAAGCTGTTTGTCAGCTCCTAGCACAACTTGCTTACTTTAGTATTTTCTTAATGCAAAAGGTTGTGGCATTCATTCTTCCATAATGTTTATACTCAAGTAGGTCCCTAACCAGGCATACTTCTATTTTGCTCAATCTAAACATTTACACTGTTTATTTGTATTGCAATTGATAAGTTAGACTTTCTGTCCACTGAAATAATTTTATTTCCTGATGTAGTCTAGAATATCTTGTAGCCACTCTCTTTTCCACATAGAGCACTGTTATGATGGTGTCCAACACAAGGCGAGGCCCTCCTGATATTTCTTAAATGTTAAGATGACACTTCAGACGTCTTACAAACCCAGGAAACAGAAAACTATGATAGATAAGTCTCCCAGGACTCAAGACTGATATACTTCATTAGTCTGTTTTGATGGGCTATATAGTAAAGTAGCTCCAATTCCCATAATTTGGCTTCTTTCTACCCAGCACAGTAAAAACTAAACTCTTACCGAAGTATCCTGTCTTCCTCATGATCAACATGCACTGATCTCATAAACATTCTTGGCCAGGCCAGTTATGCACAATACCATTATAATGATTAGATAGTAGTCTAACAGCAAATATTACTCTTTTTGGGGGGAGAAAACTATTATTATGTCTTGCACCTTTAAGAATCTCCTCAAGAGAAAATAGCTCTGTACTCCCAGATGGTTGATGAAGACGGCCTGTAAAACAAAAACATTTTTTATATCTGCTACAAAAGCATGATTTGTCAATACCGCAGTCATATGGATTATAGTTCTGCTCACTAGGTCCAATGACTTAATAAAAGTATCATCCAAGAGGAGAGGAAAATGTGCCCCTTCTAAAACTAAGTAATGATACAATCAACGTTACCACCTTTATGAACACCCTTGGTTCAAAAAATTTGGGTTCTGGTATATGAATCAAACATTTCTTATTCTAGGTCTGACTAGGATGTAACAGGTCTGTTATATCTGTTAACATCAAATATTTTCCTAGATTTGTGAAATACAGGATGAGTACAAAGTGTCCAAAATCAGCCTTCATCTCTTCAGATTTCCCATACTGCTTACTTATATTTGACAATTCTTATTGTACAAAATATACTGAGAATATTCAGCACAACTTCTCTTTTCACGCAGCTATTTCCTTTACCAATATTCAGTGACAAAAAACTAACGGCATGTCTCCTGTTTTGACAAACTGAGTAAAATCAGAAATGCAGAAACTTTAATTTCAGTTGGCTGTCCAGTTCTAAGGTACTGTCCTCCCTGATAAAACTCGAACATCTTTCTGTCTGTGGCCATTTTTAACATTTTACTAAAACGCTGTATTTCCATTTAGGGAGAAACAGTTTTCCAAGTAATATAGTCTATGACTACAGGAGTTAGGTTGATGTGTGTCTGGCCATAATCTGTCCCCTTTTGGCCAACATATATCAAGAGTCTTCCTCAAATGACTTTTTCAAGCATGGATAAAAGGAAACGTGTACTTTAATCAAAACTCTTAGAATCCTTTCAATACTGTTTAACAGCTGGCAGTGGTTTTCATTCTCTGCTTAGGGATCCAAAGGCAGAGTTAAATTATTGCCAGGACCCAGTTCAGAACAAAAAAAACTGAGTTTTGAGCACAATCAAAGACTGAGCATCTGAGCATCACTAGTAGTAAGAAGCATTATCCTGGAGGTGGAACCAAAGAAAGCAAGACAGTCTTATGTGCTAAATTTCATTTGTAATGGGGAAAGGGTGATTCAAACAGCAGATGAATTTGCTGAAGGAAAGTTACACAGAATGGAGATCACTAAGACAGGTACTATCAGAAAAGAAAGTGCAGGTTCAATCCAGAAATGAGAAGAAAGAAAAATGGAATAAGAAAAGCATGTGTGGAACCATTCAGTTATTAGATATTCATTCAACCACTCTTACCTGAGCAAAATCTAAATCAATCTTGAAAAAACTGGATAATGATCACAGTAAGAAAACAGGTACAGAAAGAGTAGGCTATCCAGCAAAAGGAAAACACTGAAAGAAACCTAAGAGAAAGAGAGTAGCAAGTAATCTAACCTATGCATTCTAATGAAGAATGTGGGACAGGTAACTTGTGACCCATATAAAGTGAACAGAGTAATATTCGGCCTTGCTATTAAAAGAGCATAACAAGAAAGGCAAAAGTATTCTGAGGAATACAGGCACGTGTCCATACCTTGCAGAACATATGAAAACCGGCAGCATTTGGACACAATCGTGGAGGTACCTTAGATTAAGTCAACCTCGCAAAATTCTACTCACCCATTTGCCCAAGATGACTAACTCAGGTAAACATGACTGAAAAAAGTTGTGATAAAATCAAGAATGATTTCAAGGACTTGGGGGAGGGGATGTGGGAGGAATCAAAGGTGAGATTGATGTTGGTGATCTTAACACTCATTTGGTATCAAGTGCAACTGAAGAAGAGAGAAATTGAGTCTGAAGATCAAGAAATACATATGATGAAGGTGAAAGAAGGAGGTAAAAGATCATTTGATTTCTTTTTCTATAATGAAGTGACTATTCAGATTAGACAATCTCCACTTAACCAGAGGAAGCACTGATCTCCTGACTTCAAAACCAGCAGAACTTGTTAGGTAGGCTTTAAATATAGTAGAAGGTAATGGATGAAACTTTCATTTAGCTCAAATCCTAGAATGTACTTTCAATTCAAAATAAAGAAAAATTATACACTCTGCAATGAAATATTAATATAAAGTGTTAATATGCTTAAGTACCTGAGTTAAAAGGGTTAACTATATTACAAAAATATTTGAAAAACACATTGATATCCAATAACAAAGAAAGTAAAGAATCAAGACAAAAGTAACTAGGAATCAAAACACCTTGGTTCTGTTAAACATGATGAGATTATCTCATGTTTTCAGTCAATTACTATCTGTAAGTAAGAAGTACAAAAGGGTGGTTTCTTAGATTTTCTGCTTTAGGGACCATTACGTTTATCTCCTTATTAATTTAAAAATACAGCCACACAAGGGTATTCGACACCAGGAATTCACATGTTAGGGCATTAAGAAATCTAGCAATTTTCATGGGGCAAGAAGAAATATTGAAATCCATGAATTTAGACAAAACAAACTACAATTCCATAGGGATGTAAGCGACTAATCAACTAGTCTCTCGACTAGTTGCTTCTCCCTTGTCTCGGAAGCTGGCTTAAAAGCCAGTTCCCCCAACACTGTCTCCACAGGGGGCAGGGGAGGCAGAGGGGTAGCAGGGACCGGCACAAGCTGGGAATCAGCTGTCCCAGCTGGCACAGGATCCTCCACACTGCACTCCAGCCTTTTAAATGTATTAAGAGCCTGGATAGCTGATTCCCAGCTTGCGCTAGGTCCCCCACACAGTGCTTCTGTTTTCTAAATGTATTAAGAGCCTGCAGGTGCACCGTGAGGGGGGGAGAGGGGGGAGAGAGGTAGGACCCAGTAATCAGCTGTCCCAGCTCACACCAGGCCCCCCACGCTGTGCTTCGGGGGGGGGGGGGGCAGGAGCTAATCCTGCTGCAGCTCCTCCGCATACTGACTAATCGACTAGTCAATGGAAATTCCATTGACTAGTCAATTATTTGATTAAACTAAATTTAACATCCCTACAATTCCATTAAGAAAAGAAATATTCAAAAAACAACATGCAGACAATGAGGAACTACTCAAAGAACCTGTACTAGAAACAAAGCAAAAATTAATATAAGAAGTCAATCAAGTTCCATTATTTGAATAATTAAAAGCTAGACAAAACAAATAATCTTGCAATGGCAACATAAACGGGCTAAATGATACAATGTCTATTTGAATGATTCTATGACAAAAAACGGTTTAATAGCATCACTTTCGTAAATTATACAGAACCCAAGAATTTTAATCTGATTACACCATTAAAATATATGTTAGTTTGACTGAAGAAATATTTCCCACAGGGAAATTAATTTTATCATCTGGCCTTGTCCCTGTCCTCCACCTGCACCTGTTTCAATATTGCAATTCTAATAGACCATGCCACTGGTACAAAAGGGCTTAAAATTTTTCAAAAACCAGAATCTTCAGTTCAAGCTTTCTTCCCAGTTATGTGCAATAGTGGCTATTCTTTTTGCTAATAGTGTGCCTTCACATGTTCAGTTTATTCAAGAGAAAAAAATATATTCTAATAGAAAAAGTTATTGCTGCCTGTGTTTATAAATCTAAAACAGAAGCTTAGCAGAAACATTAAGAATAATATTTCAGCAGAAAAATAGAACCGTTCTGTGGTTGTCCCTCTACCACTCATGTGAAACTATTCTTTTGCTTTCTTAGTTGATTTTCCAACATATATGTTTGTACAAATGTATATGCTGGAGCAATGCCAGGTTTACCTCCTACAGTTGTCATTATGTAAATGGCATTTTACCTTTGTTACAAAAAGTATTCATATAAAATATTGTTCTGTAATCTAATACATTAGTATTTTATTTTAAAAGGCTTATTTTAACATAGTGTTTTTCCAGCTTTCTCTATATTAGCTTCATAAGTAAGCCACTTCAGCTGGAGCACAATTATAATGGAAAATATTCATGTACATTTATGAAATTTTGTTCTTATAAACATTTCAGAAATCTCCCTGGCGTCATTTAAAAGGAACAAAAAATTTCAACAGCACCCAGTCAATGTTATTCACTCTACCTTTTACTACTTTCCCCATAAACTTACAGGAAATCATAAGGTAATCTTCACAGTTGCCCTTATCATCTTGATGCTGCATGGGAATTCCGTTGGCATCAATTACTGCTTCTGAGGCACAGTCTGCTACCAAGACTTCTTCAGAAACTACATCTTCTCCCAAACTATCGGTGACAATTTCTGCTTCTACAACATTATCATGAACCACATGTTCCACATGCCCAACTTCAGGTACATGCATTGATTCACTTGCCAGTACATGTTCTGGTATAGACAATGCTGCTGCTGTTATGTCAGAAGCTAAAACATCATCTGGAACAGTGCAGTGTGCTAATGAAACCTCATCAGCTACCTCTGTGCCCAGCACTTGTTCAGGAATAATGACAGTTTCAGACACATCCGCCTCTTCCATGATATCTGAGCACTGAACATCCTCAATAACAACATCCTCAATGACATCTTGGATGACTACAGAGTCCGGATCATCAGGAACAAAGTTATGTACAGTTATGTCTGAGTCCACCACATCTGAAACAAATACTGTTTCTTGAACTTCTACAACAATCTGATCTCCATCCATATGTGCTGCATCAGACCCTGAAAAATATAATTAAACCAACATTTAAAACATCCATAGTAACTCAGTAAACATGACTGATGTTTATTGTCTGTCAGTTACTGCAATTTATCTTCAGCTTATACACAATGTATCTACCACAAGCATTCTGGTACCTTTGACCATGTCTATTTAGAGAGAGAGTAAGGAAATTGAAAAAGCACCAGGAAACTATTACTTTCTTACTAGCCACTGGCATTTATTTGACAAACTCACATAGGCCAATTTTCTAGCTTTCAGCTCAAAGAGACCTTTTTTTTTTTTGTAAGGTCAGCCATTTGTGAGTCTCTTTTCGATAATCCTCATTTCAGAGTGTCCTGCAGCAAGTACATCTTAGTTACACTGTTCTGAACTAAAAATAAAATCACAAGTGCAGCATTCAGTCCAAAAATAATAATAGAACAGCTCAGCACCATTCAGTAAAGACAAATGACTCGTTATAATCTACTTTGTGTTTAACATGAAGGGCTTTATTAATATGCTTTATCTCCTATCAGACCTGTTGGGTCAAAGAATGCGTTTGGCTCATGTGTCTGCAGTTCAAGTCCATCTTCATCCATGGCCTTTAATTCTCATCAGTCACAGTGCCTAAGAAAAATAAAGACGAAAAAGTTTACTTGTCCAGTAACTGTAGTTCTCCCAGAGATCCCTGTCATGCCCCCATATGCTTTATGAAAATTGGCTTAATATGAATATGCTTTACTCCAAGACGCTTAGACAAAATGCATTATGTAACATATAATTTTAAAGTTACAATCTGCTGAATCGACGAGGAGTCCTGTGGCATCTTATAGATTAACAGATTTATTGGAGCATAAGCTTTCGTGGGCAAAGACTTGGTACTTTTCCTTGTACTTTTCCACTCAAGTTGAGAAAAGTTTGAATTGAACACAAAGAATTCCCACCTCTGGGATGCCCCACTACTTTTGTAAAGAGTAAGATGGCTTTATTTGGGGTTTTGGTCCTTTTGGGGGCAGTGCTATCAATGGCCTTGTGTGTGAGCTCTCCCAAAGCTGATTCAGAGTCTGTGTTCCTCTGCTGGGAGGTTGTTATCCTAACTCTGTTCCTTGGCTGGGGGGCCAGAGCTTCCCCTGGTGGTGCACCCCAGAGGGCAGATAAGTAGGCTCAGTGGCATGATCAGCACACCAGTGACAGCCCCAAGGGGACCTCAGTGATCAAACTCGTCACATTCCCTATGCATATGTCACACATTTCAAGAAGAGAAATTCTAGCCCCAATGCGGTTATAGGCAAAAGCCAGCTCTACACCCCCAGCCCACGCATGGCTGCCAACTCCTAGCCCATATGGGCTGAAGCAGCTTTCCACCCACAGTGGGATACGGTCAGAGAGATACTCCCAGGTATCACCTCTTACACATCCCTAGTAGAAACCTTAACTGAAAACTGCAATAATTTGTTTTCATTCCTCTCTCCCCCGCCCCCCGTCAAGGAAATGTTTGCATGGTGGAAAAACAAAAAACAAACATACATTCCCAAGTATATACACCCAGCAGCAAATATATTCCAATTCCATCCTTGCACAACCTCATCCTTTGATACTCCCAACTAAACACTCCTGTTGATGAAAAATAATGTAAACAAGGGCAAGAGAAGGGAGGAATGCAGCCAGAAATTAAACTATGATACTTTTCTCATGGCCTCCTTTATTACTTGGAGAAGTCCAGATGAACTAGCCTAGATTTTAAAAAGGGATTTGTACTGGTAAGACTGTGGATGATTCTAGTTAAAGGCTTCTGGATCTTGAAAAGGGATCATCAGAGCCCTACATAATCTGCATCCATGGCTCATTTTTGCGATGTGGACATAAATTTTGTATCTAGAACACTGCTAATTTGTGGATATCCATTTTATATCCATGAGTATCCACATCCACAGATGCAGATAGCCAGGGCTTGACGAATGGCAGCGAAAGCCGTTTGCCAGCCGCACGCTGTACATGCGCAAGACGCGCATGCGCATGCCGCAAATGAGTGGAGCGCCCAGCTGAAATCTACTCGCCCCGGGCAAGTAGATTCAATACTTTTTCGAGCCCTGCAGATAGCAATGGCTAATTTTTGCAGAGAAAAATGTGGTACCCGTGCAGAGCTCTAGGAATATTCACTGACAGATTGTTTTTGAGTTCTGTTGATGTAAATCAGGCAATTTTGAATGTTAAGATATTATGTCTAGGGATGTTAGTATATAGATGGTTAAACAATTTATTTGGTAAGCCTGGGTTTATAAATTAATCCAAATGACTATACACACACACACACACACACACACCCCACTGCTTCTGCCTGAGATAGAGGCAGCAGTGTGGGGAGAGAAGGCAAGTGGCTCCGTGGAACTCTCTCCCCCACCTCTGCGTGTAAATGTATAACAGTTTAAATTTTCAGTTACTCGTTTACCCACATATACTATTATAGAATAGGGATGTTAAAAAGTGTTTGTTTTCCTGTGTCGCCTTCCTATGGTTGCTTGTTTACTTTCTTTCTCCACCCATTT